ATAGTGTGAGTTCTATTATTCTATTATATCAACGAAACATTTGCGAATTTCATAGTTTGAGTTCTACACCATTATTCTACACCCATTATTTCCTCAAAGCATTTGCAAATTTGATATTTTGAGTTTTATGTGGGGGTGAGCGGCTATGCCGCGAGCCCCCTATTATTTCCTCAAAACATTTGCAAAAACCACCGTTTCAATGAGTGGTTCATATCTTTTGTTCAATAATAAAGACAAGTGTCCTTTTTAGAACAGATTAACCTGTTTATTGTGGTAATTACAAATAAATTTACAGATAATCGTTTTAAAATATATAGTTTGGCGTTAACGAGTTGGTAGTTTTGAGAATGAATCTGATTTGGTGACTAAGAGCGGAGTAAATGGATGATTAAAATTGTGTAAAAGCCTGAGTGATTTTTTCTCGTCGTTGGTAATGGAGTCGTCGGTGTATAAAGTTGAGTTTCGTAATTTGATTAAGATTTGATTAAAAACAAAAAGTGTAATCAATGTCATCGAAGTTGTTGGGGAGGGTGTGGTACTGGAACGAGATTGAGCAGCAATGACAGGCAAGTGACTCAATCCATCTCTTAGTCCTGTAGGGAAAGGACTGCGGCTCCCAATTTCTAGTCCTGATCCTTCGGGACGGCTACCTGTTCCTGATTTATCACTCGTCTGTTCCACTTTCTGTTAAACTTATCCTTTCCTTCTACCGATCCTTGATATTTAGCGAGATTTACTATATTCCCCTCGAATAAATTATCCGGGAAATCACTGAGGAAATGGCGCAGAGATGCCCGTTACTAATTTATAAAGGAAATTTTTTCCTTGTTGGCCGATTCCGTAGAGATTTATTTTGGGTAGGTGACTAGATTTGGGGACGTAATTGTGCAATAAATGCTGCTGTATAAAAATATTTAGGTTAAGTTATATATTTAATTCTTCTTGTAAAAAAAATGACGAGTGATGCCAAAGTAAATATTATTCTAAGTTCTATAAATAGTAGAATTGTCGTTCGAAATAGGACTTCACAGCAATCGGAACGTATGTGTTAACGGCTGTCGCGATTTGTTTACAAAAACGACATGTGTGTATGTAGTTAGTACCGCGACGCTGTAAACAAATCGACGCCAAAACGGTCCGACGCTTTATGACGCGAACGACGAATGTAACTCAGGCCACCTTTACATCTGTTTACATGTTCATGCCTGTTTAAAACTAGACCGTTGACAAAATGGGTAATTGCTTTCAAAGATTATTTACACTACTTCACGTTAAAAGAAATTTAATAGAAACGAGGCGCCAGAAAAATATACTAAAATTCGAACATTTAATGCCACTAAACATGTTTCTTGCTCGTGCAAAAGACAAACCTACCCTAATTTTTTTCCCTATAATTGATTTAGTCACTTGTAGACGACTAATCCCGACTTGACGATATAATTATCGCATCTTTTAGATTCTTAATGAGTTGGTATGAAATATAACCTGATAAATAAGTGTGTTTAGTTTGTGGAGTAACAACTCCGAGTCGTGCTGCTACATTATTTAGTTGCCTTAAGGGATATTGCAGTTTGCTCATTCCAAGCCTTCTCATACAGTTCGCGTAAAAAGTCTCCATGAACGTTATTATTAACACACCTTTCCAATGAGGGAAGAGCTGGAAAAATCATCCGATGGAAAAGCTTTAAAGAAGCTGTTGTGCAAGTAAAATTTAATTTAGAAGAGTCGAATGAAAACTGAACAGTGAAATTGATCTGTTTGATGATTTATGGTTGGTGTGGAAGGGGTATATTTGTGCTTTCTAGGCGTTAATAGTCCCAAATGAGTCCGGAGTCAGTTGGAGACAAAGCATTATTTTGATATATTAATTCACAACCCCGACAATTTGTAAGCAGCGGGTGTCCAAGCATTAGGGGAAATTCCGACTGCTTTACCAAAGTGACACACGACAGCGGTGGGTGACTTCACAAAGGATTAAATATTGGCCGTTAGGCAGGCCCTACTTTTAAATTAAATTAACATGTAATGTTGCTAGATGTGGTAGTATCAGTTATTAAATTACGACATGCAACTGTATAGCTATTAAGGGCTGAGCGAAGGCCACGACCCCGAGACTGTTTTAATATTCGGCTGGGTCATATCCAGGGTATCCGAATTGATACTTAGCATTACTAGCCGGCAAGGGGTGACCCGCGGATACGCTTCTATAAATATTAATTCGCTAAATGATCAATCCAGACGTCGTTATCAATACGATCGCTTTGTTTATTGGCTGGGCAGTGTGTAGGAGCATTACAAGTTATCGAATAATGAACTGTCATCCTTGAGTTATAGACAACGGTTGCGGCATCGGCAACAAGAACGATAGTGGACCTTTTCGCCGCGCCCAGTCATTTAAAATTTACATTCGTTTTGGAAACGGTTTACTGGTCATCTATAGTCAAATGTGCGACCAGTTGACCGGTGTCTATGCATAGACAACGATGTCTCGGATAGAATTGCCCTCAAGGGATGTTTTTACTTTGATATGTATGATATACTGTATTGTCGACGTATTGAATTTTTAGATATTTATACGCCAACTTCTTTCGCGCCGTTCTATTATTATATCGGTTTCGGGACATTCCCCAGAGACAAAACCGTACCATACATCTTCCAAACGTGACAAATCTCCTTCTCTTTCTTACACTTAATTAACACCAGTCATATTTTGCATGAAAATTCAACGTTCATTTTTCCCAAAGATACTGAAAAGTGTGTCAAATTCGAAATTCATCACCGAAATA